ATTCGTCATCAACGATGAGGGTATTGTCCATCGCCTGCCCCCCGGCGGGCTCACGACCTACCCAGCCCAGTCTGTATGGGTCATGCACGAGCGCTTCCCCTTCCTCAAGCCCTTCTACTTTAGCTTGTGAGTGAGGTTTACTAGGGTTTATTAGGGTTTACTAGGGTTTATTAGGGTTTACCAGAGTTTACTAGGGTTTATTAGGGCTTTCTAGGGTTTAGGATTCGCCGCTTTATCCTTCGCTGCTGCTCCGCCTTCTCCGCTTCTGCCGCTTCCGCTGCCGCCGCCGCCGCTGCTGCTGCTGCTGCTGCTGCTGCTGCTGCAGCGTGTGGGGTGCGGGGTGTCTGTACACCGCAGGGAGCCAGCAGTGGGGAAACGCATCAACAGTTGGCTGCCTCCGGACAAACAGTTTTTGGTGACTCGAGGAGTGGCTTGTCACCGCAGAGTGCGGGACATTGAGGCCTCCTTGGCTGCAGAAGTAGGGTTTAGGGTTTAGGGTTTAGGGTTTAGGGTTTGGGGTTTGGGGGGAGGGGGGGGGAGGCGGAGGGGGGTGGCGGGGGCTTGCGGGCTTTTAGGGCGCGCGGAGGGGGGAGGCGGAGTGAGAGGATGCGGCAGCGCCTAGGGTTTGGGGTTTAGGGTTTAGGGTTTAGGGTTTAGGGTTTAGGGTTTAGGGTTTAGGGTTTAGGGTTTGGCGCGCAGGCCAGGGAGGATGCGGAGGGGTGGGTGCTGCCGGTGGAGGCGGAAGAGCCCGAAGAGGTTTTGTCTGTTTCGGTTTCGGGCGGAGAGACAAACCCTCTAGAAAAACCCCCAGGTAGGGTTTAGGGTTTAGGGTTTAGGGTTTGGGGTTTAGGGTTTGGTGCCTAGGGTTGGCCCGCGCCGCTGCGGTTTCTGCACAAAAGTTGCTAGAGGGTTTGGTTCGAGAGCTTAAGGGCAGGATTAGGAGCTTCAGGGTTTAGGGTTCATGGGTCTAGGGTTTAGGGTTTAGGGTTTAGGGTTTAAGGTTTAGGGTTTTGTTTAGGCGGCTCCGGGTCTTCGCTACGTGACACATCAGTAAGCGCGGCTGAGGGTTTAGGGCTTTTGGCGCTGAGGATTTAAAGGGTCTAGTAGAGGGTTTAGGGTTA